TAAAAAACACCTCGTGGAGAGAGAAATATGCCCAATCCATTTGGCCCCCACCCTTTAAGAATATATTTTTTAGGGAAAAAAAGGTTTTTTTTTCCCGCGGGAAAAAATTTTTTAAAAAAAAAACTCTCCCAAAAAAACCAAAAAAAAAATGGGGCCCCCCCCCTTTTTTGGGAAAAAAGGGAAATTTTTTTTGTTTTTTTCCACCGGCCCGGGGGGGAGAAGAATAAGTAGGGGGACCCCTCCGCCCCCCTTTTCCCTGTCACCATCTATGTGTCATCTTTTTATTTTTTTTTTTTATTTTTATTTTTAAAATATTTTTTTTTGATTTTTTTATAGAGAGGAAGGGAGAGGGATAGAGATTTAGAAACTTCCGATGAGAGAAACATGGTTCAGCTGCCCCCTGCACACCCTACGGGGTATGTGCCCGCAACCAAGGTACATGCCCTTGACCGGAATTGAACCTGGGACCCTTGAGTCCACAGGCCGACGCTCTATCCACTGAGCCAAACCGGTTAGGGCTATATGTCATCTTTTTAAAGTGTATATGAACAGTAATTAATGATCTTTTTTATAAAGGGGGAGATCAATGTAAATGTTAAAATAGATCTAGAGTAGAGAGTTTTAAAGTATATGTCCCCTAACTTTTCCCCATTGACCCTTTCTAGTCTGCCCCCCCCCCCCCAGAAGTTTTTAATTATGTAAGGAAAGAATTCAACTCTTATTAGAAAGGTAAATTATTAAGGATTCAATATTGTACAAAATGTAAAAGGTTAGATCCCCCCAAAATAGGTTGAATCTTAGCTTTTTAGGGTGTAGAGGGCTGTGTGGTAGCCAAATGTTCTTGTCTTCACCTTTAATATTCCCAGGTAACAAATGAAATTGATGTGTAATTCAAATGAATGGAGATATTGTCAGGAGGAAAGAGCAAGTATCTGGATGACTAAATGCTTGGCCTTAGAAATTATGACAAACTTCCTTCCCGCCAGGCATGCTTTAAATTCAACTAAAACTCAGACAGATATCAAAAGAGGTGTTAAGTTCATGTGGGTCCAGACAATCTAAGTGTAGGTCTAAGGAAGGTGAGAGTTATAAAAGTAACAGATTTAAAGCTTAACCGAAATGAAAGCCGTCCCAGAATTGAACAGGCTGCCTTTGTAATAACTTTTCCATCGTTGGAGGTTTATAAGCCTGATGACACCTGTGGATTGTGAATTAGCAAAGGTTAGGCCCCACTTCGATATGCTTACATAGCAGCAGAACCTTCCGTTTAACTCCTGGTTCTGGAGCAGAAATGAGGGCGGCAAGATCAGATGATGTTGTGAAATGTGTAACTTGTAAAATAGGTTTATCATTTCATTGTAGAAATCATGTTAAATTTAGCCCTTTTGAAAGGGAGTGTATATTTTATTTTTTTAATTTAAGTAAGATCTTAAGCTCTTACAGTTAAAAATTTGAGCATTAACTCTTTTGTTTTTCTTTTTCCTGAAAAGCATTCACAGCTCTGATGGAGGGCAAAATCAACAAGCAACTGAAAAAAGTTTTGAAGAAAATAGTAAAAGAAGCCCATGAACCCCTGGCTGTAGCTGATGCTAAACTAGGAGGGGGTCATAAAGGTAAAGTTACGATTTTCTTTCATGCTTCTAATCAGAACTCACCATACAGCATCTTGACTTCAAAGCTCGGCCTTTGTAATGAGTTGTTCTTCATAAATTCTCATAATTTATCTTTTTTCCCTAGGCTACATCATTGATTTCAATATGATTATCAGAGCTAAGCATGTATGTTCATTGTAGGAAATTCAAATACACCAAAAAAAGATTTTTTTTTTTTAAATAGCTTTCATCCTGCCACCTAGAGATCGTCTGTTAACCATTTGTGTATATTCTGCCATATTTTAGTTTAGGCACGCCCCCCCCCTCCTCCCACGTTAATGGAGTCATGGCATTGCTTTTTTAGTGTATGTGTTTGTTAGAAAACTTTAGTAGGAGGTAGAGTTGCTAGCGGTTAAACATAAAGTGAGAGTGGAAGGAAAGACTGAAAAAGTAGGCTCCCAAAAATGGAAAGCAGAACCGTTTGAGAGCCAATTGTGATAGTTTGATCTTTGGAATTATTTTATGTTGTAGATCTTCTAGGTAGGAAAGTTAGAAATTTGAGTGTTTTTAAAGCCAGGATTATGAATTTAAGAGGTTTGTGTAAATAGGTTATTTCTAATACGATCAGGTCATGAAGTTTTCTGTGATGGTGTCAGTCTCTACCTTCATTCTTAGTTTATTTTTTTCTGTTAAAAACATTAACTGTTAGCTCTAGCTGGTTTGGCTCTGTGGATAGAGCATTGGCTCCGGACAGAAGGGTCCTGGTGTCGATTTCAGTCAAGGGCACATGCCCGGATTGCAGGCTCAATTCCTAGTTAGGGGGTGTGCAGAAGGCAGCCTATCAATGATTCTATCTCTCCCTCTCTGAAATCAATAAAAATTTATTTAATATAAATATTTTTAAAATAATTTTAAAAACATTAACTTTTAGCATAAGTATGTAAACAGACACGCAGAACGGCAAATTGCTTAATGGTGGGATTATGGGTAACAATTTTTTCTTTTCAGTTTCTCCATTTAAAAAATTACACTGAATATTACTTATATGCATTCTAAGTATTTGTTTCTTAAACATGATGCAGTATATACAATTTTGTATGTTTGTATTTGATGGACTAGAGCTGTAGATTTGTATGACCGAGTTAGCAAATACACTTTAATATGACAAAATGAAGGTATGGAAAACAAAATTTATTATCCTGTTTGTAAGGGGTGTGTAAATACTTAAACTGTATTGTGAAGGTTTTTGTATGTGTGTACACATACATATTAACATGTATATATTTGGAGATCAGACAAGTTCAGGGTGGTATGGCCCAAAATGCTGGTGTTGGTTAGCACATGTATGTGTGTATTTGGCAGTACTTAAGGGATGCTAACATTTATCTGTAGGAAAAGGGCTTAAGGCTCAAAATTTTGTTTTTTATTTACTTGTCCTAGAGCGCTATTGATTAAAATCTGTGTATGTTACCTTTATAATTTTTTAAATTACTCTTATAATTTTTAAAAGAAGATAAATAATAAGTAAGGTAGTAAAAGATTTCTCACACCAATAAAACACAGAAGTAGGTTAAACTGTATTTAACTTTTTATAATTTTTATTTATTTATTTAATACAAATGTTCCTCGTTTTTATAGGAAAAGCTGAATCTCAGTTGCATCCATAGTCCTGTTGTTAATGAACTTATGAGAGGAATTCGTTCACAGATGGATGGATTAATACCTGGGGTAGAGCCACGTGAAATGGCAGCTATGTGTCTTGGGTTGGCCCACAGGTGAGATTTACTGGAAAACAAAGTTGGCTTTTACTTAATAAACAATTATATAGTACTGTTCTAAGCACATTCTACGATTCTCATAACAATCAATAGTAGATCCCAAAGTCAGTACTGGCTGGTATCTTGATTTGAACCCAGACATTCTGGCTTTATTGCCTGAACTCTAAACCTCACCATAGGCCTTTACCTCTCTGGTGTTTGACTCCACAGCTCTTGGACTCACCCCCCCACCGCCTCACACACACACTTCTTATCTCTGCTGAGTCATATGCTACTCCTCCATCTATTTACCATCTCCCAAACTTTTCTCATCTGCTATGGTCTCTTTTTTGTGTGTTAATCTCTGTTGCTTGTTTTACTCTGTTTTTTATTTTATATATATATTTTACTTATTGTAGAGGAGAGACGGATAGAGAGATAGGAACATCGGTGAGAGACAATCATTGATCAGCTGCCTCCTGCACACCGCACACTGGGGATCGAGTCAGCAATCCGGGCATGTGCCCTGACCGGGAATCAAACCATAACCTCCTGGTTCATAGGTCGATGTTCAACCACTGAGCCATGCCGGTTTCCTATCATATTTGACTAGAGTCCATTAGAACAGGAATTTATGCTATGCCGCAGTAATGTGTTCCTGAAAAGCTTGGCATTCTGTGAAGTTGCATTAAAATAACAGGGTTTGTGAAGAAAAATAAGATTAAGGGCAGACTACTCAAAACTTAGGCAACCTTGTGAACAGAGCACTGTCAAAAACAATAGCCCTGAAAATATTAACAGTAAAACTGACATTAAATTTATACTAAAAGAATAATAAAGTACACAAAAGTCTATACCTTTGAACAAAAAATATTGAGCATAGATTGATGGAGGGTTAAAGCTCTGCTGACTTATAGAGATAAGTAAAATGCACAAAAGTCAGAAAGAACTTGGTAATAAGCAATTCTAGGAGAGAACAAATAGCTACACTGGGTCGAGTCAAGCTTGTCATTAAATTGGCATTGTGTGCAACAATGGTTCTCAATCACATATCCCTTAGAGCAGTGGTCGCCAACCTTTCAGACCTCTGGTCCGCGGACCACCTGTTGGCGATCACTGCCTTAGAGGACATTGGGCAATGTGTAGAGACATACTTGGTTGTTAGAACTTCAGATGGGGTCTGCTATTAATATATAATAGGTAGCCATGGCAGGAGGGGGGGGAGCGTTTGCACAATAGTTAGAGCATCAGTCTGCGCACCAGAGGGTCTTGCGTTTGATTCCTAGTCAAGAGCATATACCTGGGTTGCATGTTCACTCTCCGGCTGGGAGACAGGAGGGGCAAACAATTGATGTGTCTCACATCAATGTTTCTCTTCTCCCTTCCTCCCTTCTCCCCTCCCTTCCACTCTCTGAAGAATCAGTGGGGAAAATATCCTCACTCCTCAGGTGAGGATTGTTAAAGATAGTAATACTATATAATGGGTAGAGTCCAAGGGTATTGCTAAACATCCTACAATGAACAGAATAGCTCCCCTACCACAAAGACTATCAGGCCCATGAGGTTAATAGTGCCAAGATTAAGAAATCTTTATATACAGTACTAGAGGCCCAGTGCATGAAATTGGTGCACTGGTAGGGTCCCTAGCTGCTTCTCTCCCTTCCCCTGGCCGAGCTCCCCCTCCCCCCAGTAGAACTGCCGGTCGGGGACAATTTGGATACTACGCTTTTATTATATAGGATTATTCCTCCATAGCTTTCTGTTTTCAGGTGTTACCATGCTGCATTTTTTCCCCTTGCCTGCTGGTATAAGACATTAATATGCTATAAAAAGCCCTAACCGGTGTGGCTCAGTGGATAGAGCGTTGGGCTGCGGACTGAAGAGTCCCAGGTTCGATTCCGGTCAAGGGCATGTACCTTGGTTGCAGGCACATCCCCAGTAGGGCGTGTGCAGGAGGCAGCTGATTGATGTTTCTCTCTCATGGATGTTTCAAATTCTCTATCCCTCTCCCTTCCTTTCTGTAAAAAATCAATAAAATATATTTTAAAGAAAATGCTGTAAAAATAATCTGAATCAATATGACCTGTACTATACAGCATTATTCTAGTTGTCATTCGTAAATGAATGTTACAGAACTATAGGTTATAGCAGGACAGATGTATTATTTTCTTCTTAAATGTGTATTTTCTGGTCTTGGAACTGATTTTCCCATGTAGAAAAAGTAAAACTAAAACTAGCTCTGAGGGAGGGATTTGGATTTTACAAGTTTTTAAGATGTTCATTAAATGCTTTTTATAGATGCTATCTTAATAATTTATCTTCCTTCTCCCCAGCTTGTCCCGGTATAGATTGAAATTTAGTGCTGATAAAGTGGACACAATGATTGTCCAGGCAATTTGTAAGTATAGTAAATGTGAGGTCTACTCTGTTCTGCATGGGTTTTTTTCCTACTATTAAAACTGTACCTTTTATAATTCTGTTGAGAAAGAGAGAGTAACTGGAAATCTTTCTTTTAAATATGTTTTTTTTTTTTTAATTGATTTTAGAGGGGAGAGGAGAGAAAAAAACATTGATCGGCTGCTTCCCACATGTACCCCGATCAGGGATTGAGCTCACAACCTGGACATGTGCCCTGACTGGGAATCAAACCAGTGACCTCTTGGTGCTGTGGCGGACACTCAACCAACTAAGTCCCACTGGCCAGGGCATAACTAAAACTCTTAATAAGAAATTGGAGCCCCAGCTGGTTTGGCTCAGTGGATAGAGCATCGGCCTGCGGACTGAAGGGTCCCGGGTTCGATTCTGGTCAAGGGCACATGCCAGGGTTGTGGGCTCGATCCCCAGTAGAGGGCGTGCAGGAGGCAACCGATCAATGATTCTCTCTCATCATTGATGTTTCCGCCTCTCTCGCCCTCTCCCTTCCTCTCTGAAATCAATAACAATATATTTTTAAAAAATTGGAAAATGCAGAATAGAAAAAGGAAAAACTACCCATAATTTAGACTAGTTGGAAATATGTGAATGACGTTATTAATGTAAACCAATTCATTTGTCTTCCATGAAAAATGCTAAAACTATATGGGAACTGTATTGTGCTGTGTTTTGCTATTTTCACTTGGTTTTATAATAGGTCATTCCAAAGTGATTTTTTGAAATACCAGTTTTAATTTTTCAATTTTAAAAAGTCCTTTAAACAGCAATTGCATTTCTGCGTATATACCCAAAAGAATTTAAAGCAGGTACTCAAACAGATACTTATACTCCCCTGTTTATACAGCATTATTTACAATAGCCAAAAGATAGGAATAAACCATATGCCCGTTAACACATCTGTTATGTTAACAAACATAATAGTATATACACACCATGAAATAAGCATCCTTAAAAAGGAATGAAGTTCTAGTACATGCTATCTACAACAGAGATGAATTTTGAAAACATGCTAAGTGAAATAAGCCACACAAAAAAAAACCTTGTGTGGTTCCTAGAATAGGCAAATACATAGAGACAATAGAACAGATTACCAGGGCCTGGGGGAAGGTGAGGGTGGAGAGTTCATTAATAGGTACAGAGATTTAGTTTGGGATGGTGAAAGAGTTCTCTAGTGGTTGCACAACATTGTGACTGTACTTGATGCCACTGAAATGTACATTTGAAAATGGTTAAGTGATAAATTTTATGTGTATTTAGCACAATTTTTAAAATCCTTTTAAATTCCTATTTCCTTTTGCTTTTTATTTTAATCTGCTGCAGCCTTGTTGGATGATTTGGATAAAGAACTAAACAACTACATTATGCGGTGTAGAGAATGGTATGGCTGGCATTTCCCTGAATTAGGAAAAATTATTTCGGATAATTTGACATACTGCAAGTGTTTGCAGAAAGTTGGTGAGTTAACTTTATGCTTTAAGGCATTGAAAAAGATGAGTTACAATTTTTTTTCTTAATCTTCCCAGAGTTTTTTACAACTAAAATTATGTTTTAGGCGTGTAGCCATATTAATATCTGTTAGATTTCAAAAACAAATTTAATGTATTTTATTGATTTTTTTACAGAGAGGAAGGGAGAGGGATAGAGAGCTAGAAACATCGATGAGAGAGAAACATCAATCAGCTGCCTCCTGCACACCCCCTACTGGGGATGTGCCCGCAACCAAGGTACATGCCCTTGACCGGAATAGAACCTGTATTGTTAGTGTTATAGTCTATATCAATTATATCAATAATATAGTAATATTAGTAGAAGATGCTGAATATTAATAAATTAGTTACTTGGCTCATTATATTGTCCCAAGAATTTATGGCCCTAGCTTCTATATAACCTTAACTACAGATTGTCTGTCACAATGTTAGTTCTATTGAAGGGGATATTTTGGGCTTTGTGTTGGTGGTGCGTTTTTCTTGTTTTCTTATTTCTTTTATTTGTTTGTTTCTTGAGGGAGGTGATGGGGAGAGATTTTACTCTCTAAAATTAAACCTTTACATAAGGAAAATTACTAGGCCAGATTTGTTTGCTTTTTGTTTTTGTTTAGGCACCTTTTGCATTGGCTTATCTCTACACTTTTTTGGACTGTTTGGTGGTTTTTGTATAATTTATTCAAAAGTGATTCTCCCTCATCCCCTGCAAACATTCCATAGGTGATAGAAAGAATTATGCTTCGGCCCAACTTTCTGAATTACTGCCAGAGGAAGTTGAAGCAGAAGTGAAAGCAGCTGCAGAGATATCTATGGGAACAGAGGTTTCAGAAGAAGATATTTGCAACATTCTGCATCTCTGCACTCAGGTAAACTGCACATAGAGAAACTAGTTGTGGTGATACCAGCACTATAATAATTTTCTGATGGCAATGATGATTTTTAAACTTATGTTCACCTGATAAATAAATATGAGGGTGTTCAGTCACTACCTCATCTGATGCCATCTTGATTTCTATACTTGAAGGGCGAAATATATACTAAAATGAAATTAAGAGTACTGTCCTGGCCATTGTGGCTCAGTTGGTTGGAGTGTTGTCCCGTATACTAAAAGGTTGCGGGTTCGATTTCCAGCTGCAGTCTCGGATGTGTGCTGAGGGCAACCGATTGATGTTTCTCTCTCACATGGGTGTTTCCCTCTCGCTTTCCCTTCCCTTCTCTCTAAAAAATCAATGAACATGTCCCCAGGTGAGGATTTTTTTTTTAATATATATTTTATTGATTTTTTACAGAGAGGAAGAGAGAGGGAGAGTTAGAAACATCGATGAGAGAGAAACATGGATCAGCTGCTTCCTGCACACCCCCTACTGGGGATGTGCCCGCAACCAAGGTACATGCCCTTGACTGGAATCGAACCTGGGACCTTTCAGTCCGCAGGCCAACGCTCTATCCACTGAGCAAACCAGTTAGGGCGAGGATTTTTTTTTTTTTAAGTACTAATTTATTTGTGTTTTTGCATTGTCAGAATAATGATTATTAATTCATTAAGAAGGCAGAGAAGGATAGCTTGAGTTACTTTAACTTTTATGTCTATAGCCTGTAGTGATTTTTTCCCCCCTTTCCTTTGGAAATAGCTGTACAAGAATCAGAGGGTGACACAAATGTCTAATCCTTGGAGGTTTTAAAAATAACTGTAATATTGGCTAACAGTTTACATATATATTTTATTATTATTGAATATCAGAGAGGAAGGGAGAGCTGAGAGATAGAAACATCAATGATAAGAGAGAATCATTGATCAGCTGCCTCCTGCATGCCCTCTACTGGGGATGGAGCCCGCAAATTGGGCATGTGCCCTTGACCAGAATCGAATCCAGGACACTTCAGTCCGCAAACCGATGCTCTATCCACTGAGCCAAACCAGCTAGAGCTTGGCTAGCATTTTCAGTTTATTAAGTTGTTTACATAAGTTATGTAATAAAAATCGTCACAGCAGCCCTTTTATAGGAAACAGGTATGCAATGACTAGTTCTATGATAGATACAAGACTCTGAGGTTTTAGACATGTAAATTTTAAATTGTACTCTTAATCATTTATGAGTTAATCATTTTGTTCCTTATACTAGGTGATTGAAATCTCAGAATATAGAACACAGCTCTATGAATACCTACAAAATCGAATGATGGCCATTGCACCCAATGTCACAGTCATGGTTGGAGAATTAGTTGGAGCACGGCTCATTGCTCATGCAGGTGATGATTTTAATGTAATTTGTAATATGGGTATTGAGTATTTTTCTAGCAAGGGTTTTTTTTTTTAATCTTTACAGTTATTAAAGAAATTAAATAATAAATAGAGGTAGGTAATATGTGGGTGAGGGCTAAGGACCAGTGTTCGATGATGATTTTTACTTGTATGCCTGATTTCCTTTGGGATAATGAAGGCATCTTTAGTCACTACCTCTTCTGAGACACTTGTCCATTGTCAGAAGTTTTGCTGTTAATTAGAATAATCAGATGAATACAGGAGGATGCAATCAGTTAACATTTTATAATAATTAAAAGTCATCAACTATGGTTACCAGGGGGGGCTCGTAAGCTGGGTGAAAAAGATGAAAGAACTAAGGTACAAATTGGTAGTTACAAGATAGTCCCAAGAAAGTAAAAGAGCATAGGGAATGTAGTCAGTAATACTATAACGATGTATGGTGCCAGGTTGGTACTTAAATATCCGGTGAACATTTTGTAAAGTATATGATTGTCTAACCATTTGTGTAATGTATGTGATTGTTGTACATCCGAAAGTAATACAAAATAACACTGAAGGTCAACTTTAATTGGAAAATAAAATTACTGGCTACCCTGGCTCAATTGGTTGAACATAGTCCTGTATAACGAAGGGCTCCCAGTAAGACTCCCTGTCAGGGTATATACCTGGGTATCGGGTTGAATCCCTGGTTGGGGCACATTCAGAAGGCAATCAATTGATGTTTATCATTCTCTCCCTCCCTCCTCCTAAGCATGTTCTCAGTTAAGGATTATAGAAAGAAAATTTGAAAACTGATTGGATCAAAATTTAATACTTTTGAGAAATCACAGCAGATGATGATGCTACAGTCCTGCCCTACTGTATGACAGGGATACAGTCTGAGAGACTGGTCATTGTTAGGCCATTTCAACATTGTACGAACATCATAGAGTGCACTTACAAAGACCTAGATTGTGTGGCCTCCTATACTATATGGTGTACTGCAGTCATATATGTGGTCTATTGTTGACGGAAATGTCAGACTATATAAGCCTTGATCAAGAATGTGTTTCACAATTGAATATGCTGTTGTATATTTTAATATATTTGACATGCAAAAACATTTTAAATAAGGAACTTATAATAAAACTCATGTGTATATGGTGGTATCGTAAAGATGGATGCTTCAAAACTATGTAAATGAATACTTTTAAATATAGTAAGGTGTTGGTTCATTATTTTATATTATTAGAGATGTAATAATCCATCACAGATCTTAATATGTCACCTACAGCAAAGTGTTTAAACTAGAATAGATACTTCATTGGTTAAATATGTCATCAAATATCCCCAGTTGTAAGGATAGAATCATTTGGGATGGTTTTGTTGTCTGCACCCAAAATTTCATAGGTTTATCTAAATTTTAGCAGATCTAACAAAGCAGCAACTTTTCATACCCAGTTTGTGTACTTATAAGCATATCTCCTCATCCATATCTTAACCAGTGGTAAATAAAAGTGTTTGGAGTTTATCACATGGTTCTATAAGGTGTCCTAATAAGTTTCCATTTACTTTTATGGGATTGTTGTGTGTTTTTTTCATATCTGAAGTATATTTGTTATCCAAAATCTCAAAAAACAGAGACTAGATTGAGGGTTGTCTGTAAATACGTATGTTATATTTATACTAGAGGCCTGGTGCACAAAAATCATGCACTCAGGGGGGTGGTCCCTCAGCTGAGATTGCTAGAGGGTGCAGGCCAGGCCGAGGGACCCCACTGGGGCACGGTCAAGGCCCCGGAAGGGACTGTGGGAGAACTCCAGGGTGTGTTTGGCCCATTTGCTCAGTTCCTATCACCTGGACCCCAGCAGCCAAGCTCACCTACAGGTTGGAGCAGCTGCCCCCTGGTGGTGAGTCATAGTGAGCGGTTGAGGGGCTTTAGCATATCATTAGCATATTATGCTTTGATTGATTGAACGAACGACCAGACACTTAGCATATTAGGCTTTTATTATATAGGATCTTGTGGTGTGCTAATGGAATGCAAAATAATAAAACCCTTTCTCAGGCAAATATGTAAAAATTGAACAAGCTCAATCTTCAGTTTGTCACAGACATTCATCATATACTTTTGCTTGTGATGCTAATGGAAGAATCATAAATGCTGAGGCATCAGGGTTTTTAGGAAATTCTAGACTTAGAAAATTTTCGTATTACATCAGATTATTATTCTGGTGGCTGTAATACCAGACTGTAGGTTCTGTGTTTAATGCATGGGACTTTGAAATAATTAAAAAGTGATTGTAGCTACTTCTTTTCTCTTGAAGGTTCTCTTTTGAATTTGGCCAAACATGCAGCTTCCACAGTTCAGATTCTTGGAGCAGAAAAAGCACTCTTCAGAGCTCTAAAGTCTAGACGGGATACCCCTAAGTATGGTCTCATTTATCACGCTTCGCTCGTAGGCCAGACAAGTCCCAAACACAAAGGAAAGGTGAGTTAGAGTTTTCCTGAGGTAGACTTTCTCTTTTTTTTCTCCAAACAACTCATTTTTCCTCATACTCTATAGTATGCAATAAATCTTTCTATTCTCATTAAATAGAGAATGGTGAATTCTTTACATTTAAAAAATGCACTCTGGCCTGACTGGTTTGGCTTAATGGATAGAGTGTCGGCCTGGGGACTCAAGGGTCCCAGGTTCAATTCCGGTCAAGGGCATGTACCTTGGTTGCAGGCACATACCCAATAGCGAGTGTGCAGGAGGCAGCTGATCAATGTTTCTCTCTCATCGATGTTTCTAACTCTCTATCCCTCTCCCTTCCTCTCTGTAAGAAATCAATAAAATATATTTTTTTTAAAAAATGCACTCTGTATACTGAAAGAACAGGTTTAAAGAAAGTACTTTTGGTCCTGTTAAAGCCATCTTATTTCCTGTGTCAGTATTTTCATAGGAATCACCCATTGGTAAGGGGTACATCAAAAGTGTTCACAGTGTCAGGAAACCAACTTAGCATCAATTTTATAACTTTGCGAATTATAAAAAAGAAAAGCCCTGTGCAGTGATGTGTCTATTTTGTAGGGCAAATATTTTAAAAGAAACTAAAATTTTATAACATTCAGAGCAAAGTGTTAGCAATAAAGAGTTGGGTAAAATAAAATGTTAATTAGCTTGAAAAGGGGTCTGCACTTTTTCTGGTTGTCCTCATGTAGAATTAATATCAGTGAGTAGAAACTAAAGGAGGGCATTAGCAGAATAGTTTGAACTGGTTTTAGACACCACTACTGAAGATCTTTTTATCCACCAAAACGATGGTGGTTAATATTGCAGCAAAGATTTAAATATAAGATAGGTGGCTTGAGTTGTATGATTCAAAATGCTTTTGTAATTCCTGGTTTAAAGAAAATCCTAGCATGACTATTTCTAACTTCAAGTTCTCTATTTAGATTTCTCGAATGTTGGCAGCCAAAACGGTTTTGGCTATCCGGTATGATGCTTTTGGTGAAGATTCCAGTTCTGCGATGGGAGTTGAGAACAGAGCCAAATTAGAGGCCAGGTTGAGGGCCATTGAAGATAGAGGGGTAAGAAACACACCCTGCCTATTGCAGAAGTGTTACCTGTTAAAAGTTAATCAACTATGAGGATGTTATATACTTAATTCACCTGCTAAACAGTTTTGTTTTTGTTTAATCTTTATTGTTAAAGTATTACATATGTCCCCCCTTTTCCCCCATTGACCCCTTTAAACAGTATTGTGATACATTTCAGTATTCTTTATGTGTCTACTTTTGACAATTTCCCTTATATTTAATAAGAATTGATGTATTAGAGTATATACTATAAGATCTTACCTTAGAAAATAATTTTTCTTTTCTTAGATAAGGAAAATAAGTGGGACAGGAAAGGCATTAGCAAAAGCAGAAAAATATGAACATAAAAGGTGAGTACATGTGGGGGAGATGGAGGACAGTTCCTGTTTATTTAAATGTTAATTGTTGACAGCACGTTTTTATTGTTATTGTTATTATTATTATTAACTGAAGCACCTCAATGCCATCCCCCCTTTTTTTGCCATTTATAGTTTTTCATATTCAGTCCTGTTTTTTAATCAAATACACACATTTATATTGTTGTAATAAGTACATATTGTATATTTGTTTGGCTTTTTTAATATTTACCCTACTCATTTCCAAATATTGATAGTAAATATTTGACATTCATAGTTCCTGTATAGTATACAATTTATCAAAAAGAAAATTCAGAGTTAAACAACATCTATATTTTAAAAAAGAGACAAAAGAAAAGTCTAAAAATAAAAATGGCTAAGACACATGATTAAGTATTCACACCTAACCATAAAATTTATAAAAGATATATGTGTGGGGAGAGGTGTTCTGGTTATTATTTGAGGTGATGCTTAATACTGACAGGGGTTGTGATGATGGAAGTAGAATGAATGCAGGACAGCTTTTCTGAGAAGCAGTTAGATAGTATGCATCAAGAGACTTAAAAATGTTTCTAGTCATTAACCCATAAATTCTACTTTTAGGAATCTTGTAATTTTTTAAGAATTTTAATAAGAAATGGGTGGGGAAAGCAATATACAGTATATCACAGTTATAAGTATATGTATTTAAATATACACATTCAGAAAAATGGTTTTATTCTGGAAAGAAACCTTATGTATTCAATATGGACATTAATGTGTGTGTGTGTGTGTTTTTAATGTGTTTATTTAATTTAGAGAAAAAGGAAAAGGAAGGGAGAGGGATGGAGAGATAGAAACATCAATGAGAGAAACATCCTGCACGCCCCCTACTGGGGATCGAGCCTGCAATCTGGGCATGTGCCCTGACTAGGAATAGAACCAGTGACCTCTTGGTTCACAGGTTACTACTCAACCACTGAGCCACACTGGCTAGGCATTAATGTTTTATTTTATAGTTTGTAAATTTTCCAAATTTCTCAGTTGACAAATGTAGATCTTTGTTTTTAAATTACGGTTTTAATTTTTAACCTCTAAAAGTTAGTCATTAGCCCACAACTCAAGAAACAGACGATTCTTTAGCTTGTTTTGTATAAATTTTTAATATTCTATGCTTACAACTTTAAACACATGCACTTAAAACACTAATTATGAGATTTATGTCACATTTTAGCACTCCTTGCTTCCATTTTTTTTTTCTTTCTGCTACGTTAGAACCAAAGCAATCGTTGGGTTTTAAGGATTTATGCATAGATATCCCCCTCTTGTTCCTCTACTTTTGGGGCTCTTGAGATGAGCCTTCTGTATTAAACTTGATTGAGATCATTTGGTTTGGTTTGGTTTTCATTGAATTACTTTATATTGTAAAACCTAAATTGATTCAGTTTTTACTTTCCTGGTATAATGATTTGGTGTAAAGAGATTTTTCCCCCCTATGCTGATTGAAATTTATTTATTTATTTGTTTGTTAGTTGATCCTCACCCGAGGATATTTTTTTCATTGATTTTTAGAGAAAGTGGAAGGGAGGTGATGGGGGGTGAGATATGGATATGAGAGAGAATGCATCTTGTATGCACCCCGACCGGGGTCAGGGATCGAACCTGCAACCCAGGTACATGCCCTTAACAGGGAATCAAACCCACGATGCTCTAACTACCTCACCGGCCAGGGATAAATATTTTTCTACACTGTAGTCACTTGATTCAGACTTCATTTAGCTTACCACTTCTCTTGAAGTGTGATTAACCTTCCTGGAAAATATTAAAACACTCTACCTTTTTGGAAACTTAGTTTTCATAAACTGCCCCAAAGCCACTAAACTGAAACAGCATTTTATGCTTATGTGTTAACTAATAGCATTTCTTTTAAACTTCTATAGGATTATTTTAGTTACAGATATTTGTAGAGATTTTCTTAAATTCCTTGATTCTTTCAGTGAAGTGAAGACTTATGATCCTTCTGGTGACTCCACACTGCCAACCTGTTCTAAAAAACGCAAGATAGAACAGGTAGATCAAGAGGATGAAATAATTGAAAAGAAGGCAAAAAAAGCTAAGGTTAAAATTAAAGGTTAGTTTGAATTTTTAAATGTCATTTATACTCTTATTCCTTAAGTACAGACTTCATAAGTCTTGGTAAAATTTGTGCCATTGAACCTTATTGTGAAATCATCCATATTGAAAGTTAGTGTTATTTTAATAAGCCATCGTGTTCTCTGAGAATAGTTAGGACATTGTAAAATTTATCAGATTTCATAGGGGTTCATTTCTATGAACATGTGGAATTGTTTATTACACTAAGTATATCAAACCAAAACTTTGGTTTCTACCACATGAACTATTTTGAAAATCAGATTAAAATGGAAAAAAAAATATGCGGTTTCTAAATGAGTTATTTAGATCTTTTTGTTACATGGTTAAATGTAGGATTGAGCCAGCCAGAGGTGTTTTTCTCTCTTACATTGAATGGACTAGAGTGCTAATATACTATCAGCCTACCATCTTAGTAATGCTATTTAAAAGGGGCTCTCCAGCCCTGGCTGGCATAGCTCAGTGGTTAGAACATTAGCCTGATCACCAAAGGATTGGGTTTTGGGGTTTGTTCCCAGTCCGTAATTGAACCTGGGACCCTTTAGTCTGCAGGCCAATGCTCTATCCACTGAGCCAAATCAGCTAGGGCTAAAAATAAAAAATAGTCCTGGCCGAGTAGCTCAGTTGATTAGAGCATCATCCCCATACACCAAGGTTGTGGGTTCAATCCCTGTCAGGGCACATACAGGAATCAACCAATGATGTTTCTCTCTCTCTCTCTCTCTCTCTTTCTCTCTCTCTCTCTCATGAGTTATTTAGATCTTTTTGTTACATGGTTAAATGTAGGATTCAGCCAGCCAGAGGTGTTTTTCTCTCTTACATTGAATGGACTAGAGTGCTAATATACTATCAGCCTACCATCTTAGTAATGCTATTTAAAAGGGGCTCTCCAGCCCTGGCTGGCATCGCTCAGTGGTTAGAACATTAGCCTGATCACCAAAGGATCACAACCCTGGCATGTGCCCTTGGACCGTAATTGAACCTGGGACCCTTTAGTCTGCAGGCCAATGCTCTATCCACTGAGCCAAATCAGCTAGGGCTAAAAATAAAAAATAGTCCTGGCCGAGTAGCTCAGTTGATTAGAGCATCATCCCCATACACCAAGGTTGTGGGTTCAATCCCCTGTCAGGGCACATACAGGAATCAACCAATGATGTTTCTCTCTCTCTCTCTCTCTCTCTTTCTCTCTCTCTCTCTCCCTCCCTCTCTCCCCCCCCTCCCTCCCTCTCTCCCTCCCTCTTTCTCTCTAAAATAAATATATTTAAAAATAAATAAAAATAACAGGTGCTCTCCAGCCTGGCTGTTGTGACTCAGTGGTTGAGCCATAGATCCATGAACCAGGAGGTCATGGTTTGTTTCCAGGTCAGGGCACAAGCCTGGATTATGAGCTTGATCCCCAGTAGGGGGTGTGCAAAATGCAGCCAATTGATGATTCTGACATTGATGTATGTATCTCTCTGAAATCAAAAGGGGGGCGGGGGCTGGCGTGGCTCAGTGGTTGAGTGTTGGCCTATGATCCAGGAGGTCACTGGTTCGATTCCCAGTCAGGGCACATTCCTGGGTTGCAGGCTTAATCCCCAGTGGGGGGCGTGTGGGAGGTAGCCAATCAATGATTCTCTCTCATTGATGTTTCTTTCTGCCTCTCCCTCTCTGAAATCAATAAAAATATTAAAAAGAAAAAAAGGTCTCCAGTGTACTAGGCTGTCTTGCAAGTATCCCTTTTTATTAGCTGGACCTACCACATAATCTAGCAAGACAAGCATTAAAGCAATGCCTGATTTAATTTTTGGTTTCTAAATAGTTCAGTGGTCAAAAGTATACTGTGAACAAATGTGGGCTCCTACCCTAGATGAAGAAAACATTTAACTCCTATGCTTCTATTTTTTTATTGAACAATAAGGAGATCTCTCAATTCATTAGTAGCTTTTGAAAGCACCAAACTCCAGATATGAATCTTCACTTATATACCCAATACGCCTTTCAAACTTACCATTTGTGGATCCTTGCCACTTCCACTCTGTTGCTTATCCTTGAATTGTGTTCTCTTATAACCCAATGTATTCTTGCAACAGATCTTCTTGATTCTCCTTTGGAAATATGTCCAGAATCTAACCACCTATCATACCTACCACTTCTTAATGTAACAGCCACACTGGCTCTTCTTGTTATTCATTGAACCTGCCATCCACCCCTTTCTTCCAAAATAACCTTAGCATTTGTTCTACCTGGAATATTTCCCTCAGATTCATTGGGGGGTGGGGGGGGCGGCGGGGTGGTGGTGGTGGTGGTGGTTTGTTTGTTTGTTTTTGTTAATCCTCACCCAAAGATTTTTTTTCCCATTGATTTTTTTAAAGGGAGTGGAGGGGGGCGGGGGGCAGAGAGATAGTGAGAGAGACACATCAATTGGTTGTATCTCACAAGACCCCTACTGGGTCTGGGGATCCGATCTGCAACCCAGGCATGTACCCTTGACCGGAAATCAATCTGAGACTTGGGTAGACAGGCCGACACTCTAACCACTGGACAACACCAACCAGGGCAAGATTCATGCATTATTCATTTCCTTACTTCTGTTAGGTGTTTGCTTAACTTCTGTGTAAATGTCCACATGCATCACCTTCCTCAGAGTTCCTCTTCCTACTTTCTTTCGTTATTTATTTATTTGATCCCCACCCAAGGATATGTTTATTGATTTTAGAGAGAGAAACATCAATCTGTTGCCTTCCACACACACCCCAACCAGGGATCAAACTTGTAACCTTTTTGTTGCTTGGGACAATCAGTGCTCCAACTGAGTCACACCCACTAGGCCCTTCCTGCTTTATTTTTATCCTTTGCACTGATTCTGTGTAAAAAGACTGTCCTGATGATAGCTACCTATTACTGAACCTTCCTTCTAATGTGTTAAGTATTTTACATCCTAGTAGTCCATTGAGATGTGCATTGCTGCACTTTATAGATGAGGAAATTGAGTTGACAGAAGTTAAATGACTCACTCAGGGCCACTGCTCAGGTTGAATTAATGCATGTTTTAACTCCATAGCACAAACTCTTAATCATTTCTGATGTGATTCACTATTTTCCCAAAAACAGTGGATTTGCAGATGAGATGATCTGTCTTAATTCTAATTTCTGTGCATAGCTGCATGATCAAGGGTAATTTACTTATCTCTCAGCTTTGTATCATTTGTAAAGTTAGTGGTATTGCACTAGGTAAGTGTTAAACTCTGGATGATTGACCAGAATGACAGGAGGAGACTAAGATTCAAAAGGTTTGGGGGGACTGAGGTCTGATACCATGTCAACTGTTATATCTTTATATTTACCCTATTCAGTTGAAGTAGAAGAGCAAGAAGAAGAAGAGGATGAAGAAGGAGTGCTAGTGGTGGAAGAACAGGAGACATCTGTGAAGAAGAAGAAGAAAAAGGATAAGAAGAAACACATTAAGGAAGAACCGCTTTCTGAGGAAGAACCATGCACCAGCACAGCGGTTCCTGTATGTTTATTTTTGATTACTAATACTATAAAAGACTATTTCTCAAAATTAGACTCACTACAAAATGGATTTGCTTTGAGTAAGGGAGAGAACATGATCTACTACAGATAGCTTTCTTAGAGATGATTCTTATATTTTAAAATGTTAATCTCGCTTAAATTTATTTTTAAGAGAAATAGATCTACTTTGCTTTGTATGAGGAAAAATTTATTACCCATACATTTACAACTCTTTCAAAAGCATTCTTTTTGGTTATTTTCAGAGTCCAGAGAAAAAGAAGAAAAAGAAGAAGAAGAAAGGTAACGAGGACTAATGGAAAGGAATCACAGTTGGATCACCTGGATACATCGTGCTTAAGATTCAGTCAAGAGTATGCCAGAGATGCTCCCTAAGATAATCGAGGAGGAACAGAGGTTTAGTGAAACAAAGTGGTTACTCATCTATAGCTTTTCAAACCTACTTGTGTCTTGACATCAACTCTGTTAACTTTATTATGTCATTATTTTTAGTCTTTGTAATACAAATAAAAATATTTTCTTGGTATTTTGAGGCAGTTCTGTGATCTCTATTTTAGGTAGAGAACCTTTGGCCCTTTCTATATTTTATTTGGTGTTTGATGGTTACTGTTTTTGATAAGCATATCTGAAAAGTGAGAGCTGTGAATCATTCATTTGAAACAGCCTTTTGTAAGGCAGTGATTAGATGGACCAATTTAAGAATCTCTGTTTCTCTCGTTCTTTTGGACTTTCATTTTTTTCCTGCTATCTTTCTGCCTCTGAATTTATTTAAATAAAGCTGGGTTTTGTGTTAAAAATTTTTAAATTAGGTGAGCAAAAATATTGGGCATCTCTTCAGAAAGAAAGAAATCATGTTCCTAATTTTATTTACTTACTTGCAATTCCAAAAGATAAACAAATTCTTTTTCTTTTAAAAAAAAACATTTTTATTGATTTCAGAGAGAAAGGGAGAGAGAGATAGAAACACCAATGATGAGAATCATTGATCAGCTGCCTCCTGCATACCCTACACTGGGGATCGAGCCTGCAAACTGGGCATATGCCCTTTACCAGAATTGAACCTGGGACCCTTCAGTCCACAGGTCGATGCTCTGTCCACTGAGCCAAACCAATTAGGGCACAAAATAATTCTTAATGTAAGCCCTGAATTGTTTCTAAAGTAATCTAAAGGGACTTTTTATAAAGGGTAATACTCATTTTATTAAGAAAGGGGGGTAAAGGGAAAAACAAGCTGAGCAAAAATAGTATGTTAGTAGGTGTGAGGTATAAACCAGGACATAGAACACCAAAGAGAAATCTTTATTTCTAAAAGATGGCCTTTAATATGTGAACAGCAGCCTGGTTGACAGCCATGTATTATCATGACAGTCACAACTCTCATAGGATTGTTACGTCTTGCATCTCTGTGTATGCCATGGACATCATGCTAAAACCCAATTCAACAAAAGCATTCAAGGGGTTGGGCTA